CTTTGGAAAGGTGGTTGACTGTTGTAGTTTGTTGTTAAGTCCTAAATCTTTAAAGGATAAAGTGCTTTTGAGGCTGGTTTCTCTTTTCCAAAAAGTTATCAAATAAGGAAATTTTTAGGAAAAAGGGGATCAGCGGTTAATATTTAAAATAATATTAATAAATTATATATAATTTTATATATTAACATTTTTTATTAATATCAAAAAATATATTTTAAACTTAGATTTTAAAAAATTAATAATATTTATTTTTTAATTATTAAAAATAATTTATTTTATTAATTTTATTTTATGTTACACAAATATCAATCCTATAGTCCAGAGAAATATATGTTATTTTTTTAATAATTACATTATAAATTTTATTTTTTTTATTATAGAATTTGATGAAAAATTATATATATATATTTTTTATTATTCTTTAAATTTTAAAAAAATTTTATTATTAATAAACTTTGATCATAAAGAAAAATTTCTTTGAATTTAAAAAAAAACTTAATGAAAAAACTATCAATTTCTTTTTTAGGAAATAATTTTGTCCTTCTCCTCCTTCTCCTCCTTCTCCCTATCACCACCTATAGAACTTGAGTTCTTTTTATACTTTTTTATTATTTATAAATCACAAAATTAAAAATTTCAAAAAAATATAAACAAGATTCACATAATGATCATATAATTTAAAGTTTTAAAAACAAAAAATAAGTTACATAATAATCAATCAAAAATTAAAATATCTGATCATACAATGTAAAAATTAAAAATCCCTTAAAATATATATATATATTTTTTAATCCACAGTTAGATCAACATAACATGCCTTTATTATATATATACAAAAATATTTATAAGATATTTTGACTTTCATATACTAACTCACCCATTATTGAAAATCTATTTCTCTAGATGCAACTTAGGAAATGATATTTCATTCCTTTATTAATTTGAATAAATCTTCTAATTAATAAAATCATTACTTACAAGTAATTACTATAAATCATTTTAAATTCTGTTTGCAGTTAAAAACCAAGCCATTTAGCACTATAATAAAACCAATGCTTAATAATATCCATATACTTCTTTTCCTCCCTTCTTTTAAAAACTTTCTCTTTCAAGTTTTCTAAGAATGTTAAAGATTCTTTCTATTCTTATGTAATCTGTGCATTTGAACTATATCCAGGTCTTTTAAACTTTTTATTCTTTTTAATAATATTCTGCTTCTTTTCCCACTCTATTACTTTAGTATAGTAACTATTTCAAATATTTTTTTTGAAGTTTTTTCTCATTTTACTACAAAGCTTATTGATTATGCTTTATATGGATACTGGAGGAATTTTGAGTTGTACTTTGAGATAATTCTTCAAAGAGGTGGTTTTGTTTTCTTCTATGTATCCACAAATAGTATTGAAAAAGCTTATATTGAATTGCTGGATCTTATTTAGCTATCTACTTGTCCAATTATCAGTTATAGAGTGAAATTCGTTTTTATTTTTAATTTCTTTATAGATGTAGTAATTAATTTTCTCTTTTGTTTTCTAGCATATGTCTTTTTTAGTATCTGGATATTTGAAAAGATATTCTAATTTCTCTTCTTGAAGTTCACATACTGGGCAAGTTATTATAGTGTAAATACCTTGAAGATTATTATGGGTTAAGTTAGTTAAAAAACTTTTGTCTTTATTAGCTTTGAAGGAGGTATCAAAGATGTTGGATGGATTGAACTGATTTCAGAAAGTTAACCAATTTATTATTTTATCTTTTTGAATCCATAGCTTTTAAATTTTTTTTTGTGCTGTCCAATCTTTCCTAATTCTTTTTCTGTTAAATATTTTAATAAATTCTCTAATACTAATCTTTATTACATATTTACTTCATATAGCTATGTTAATTTTCAGTTAAAAACAATACAGAGATCATTCGATTAGTAGTAGAACTTCTTAGATCTAACAACTTTGTTAGATACTTATTACTCGACTATATTCAAGCAAAATATCTACTTCCCTCTTTATATTGATATAGCAAGAATAACTTCACCATGCTATCAATACAATCACAAGATGCAGTTAAAGAATTCATTCAAACACTCAGACAGAAATATTTCTTCAATCCCTTATTGGGTCCTGAATGGATCAATGAGGGCTTAAACTAAAATAAAAGATCACACTTGCCCAAATCATCAGAGGAACTAAAAGAGAAACTTAATATTACTAGCAAACAACTACACAAAAATTCTCCTGATTTTAACCAAACAATTAACAAAATCAAAAGTACCTACCAGGAACAAATTCTATATAAATAGATCTCACCAGTTTTGCCAACTCTACCCATAATCTCAGAAGCCAATAATTATCTTCAAAAAAATGAACTCGACTTGATGCTACCTCTCATCAAAAATCAATTTTTAAACACCAACATCAAACTACTTAAACATCATTTCTTCTTTGAAAAACTCCCACCAGCTTTTGTTATCGAAAAAGAGTCACCTGACCCAGAACTGATCCTTCTTCTATACCTATTTTAATGTCGTTACATCCCAATATGTCCAACTCATATCACACTCTTTCTTTAATTTCATAATAACTGAATTCCACAACAAATATCAAAAACCTTCTCACAATTTTCACACTTAATGTTAGAAACTTGAATCAGTTAGGAAAACTTCATGAAATAGTCAAATTCATCAATAATAAAAGAGCAATCTTCTGCTGCACCGAGACAAAAAACACAATAACTAAACCCCTACCAAAAAGAATTAATAACAAAGTAATTATTTCAAGTAAACCCAGTTCCACAGCCATAAATAGTACATGCTTAATATTCATCAAAGAAATCTCAAGCCATATCTTCAACACTTTTACAAAAAATAAATTCTGGTATATAGCCCATCTCAAATTTAAACCAAAAGTAGATGCCATAATTATTTCCCTATACCTACCTCATGAAAAGGTAGAAAGACGAATTGCTATCCAATTACTTAGAATTTTCTTGAAGCAACACAGAACCAAACATCTCATAGTTACAGATGACTTTAACTCCTACCCACGACAATCACATCTATCAATGCATTAATTCCATGTAATAAACAGCTCATATATAATCACCTCTCTACACTAATAGACATAGCAAAAGTCACCAACAAGGAACATCATTATATACATGTTATTAGCATCAGTACTTCAAGAATAGATCAAATTTGAATATACATAAATCTTGTAAGCAAAGTCCTAAGTTACAAAGTATCAGATCAAATAGCAATTTTTTCTGATCACAAAATACTCACAACAGTTTTGGATTGGTTTGAATATAAGCCAAGCCGAATAAACTTCTCAACCAAAGTCTTTCAATTTAATAAAGCTACAAAAGAGCAAATTGAATTAATGAAAGAATCCATCGAACTTGCCTGTGCAGACACAAAGTTTTTATCCTGGGATAAAATCAACAGGATCATAAAAAGTACTATGAATGATAATATCCCCTCAAAGAATCAAACAGTTCTAACCACACCAGGAAAGGTTTTTTTGCAATATGACACCATCATCAAAGCCACAAAAAGAGTAATCTCATACCTGTGTTCAAACAAATCAATATCAAAACTTCCTCATCTAACACTCACAATCCATAACAAAATAAAAAATCACCTCAACAGTTAACTCATTTAACAAAGTCTTTAAAAGCCTCCTAAAGAAAAAACTTGCCTAGGCAAAATCATTGGCACTAGAAAAGATTAAACATCAATTGAAAAAAATTTCTATAAATTCTGGAAAAAACCCAAGGCAGCCATTAAAAAAGCTCTAGGTAATCTCAAGCCATCTCTCAATCTCTTTATTCTCTCTAACAGAGACCAATTACAGGATGATCCAGACATCTTAATTACAATTATCACTAACCATTTCAAAACCATTTTCCAACCCAAACCATTCATCATAGATTAGTATTGAACTCAATAATACCAACTATTAAATACACTTTGCAACAATGTATTCAAAGAGGCAATAGCTTAAATCTCTTTTGATGAAATTAACAATGTTCTAGCCTCCCTTCCCAAGAAAAATTCATCAGGACTCATATTTATCCCCTACGAGAGAGCTTGGATTAACTTGAATCCAATAGTAAGAGATATCCTCAAAACTCTCTTTAACTCAGTTTTAAATTCTAGCACTCCTTCCTCACATTGGAAACACTCAGTAGTAACATTACTATCAAAAAAAATAGTATGGTCACATAAACTGTCTGATACAAGGCTAATCTCTCTAATTGAAACCAGCAGGAAAATATTCACAAAAATAATAAACAATAGACTGGCAAATATAATCTGTAAGAACAAAGTTCTTTTGAATAACTTATTTGCAAAACTCAAATATTAAAGCATTATGGAACCCATCACAATCATATTTGTTAAACTTAAAGCAACCAACAACTTCAACAAGAAACATTGAATTGTCTTATTTGACATCTCCAAAGCATTTGACTTGATAAATCTACTAAGCCTTAAAGTAACCATGAACTATATCAAAATCCCATCCCAAATTACAATATTAATTTTCAACCTTCTATATAATAGAAAGCTTAACATAATTATCCATTACAGACTAACTGATCCAATTATAGTCAATAATAGCATAGATCAAGGTAAAACCCTAGTCCCACTTTTCTGGACAATATTTTATGACCCAATGGTAACCAAAGTCTCTAGGGACCTCTTAGGCAAGGCAAGAATTCTCACATATATGGATTACACGACACTCTCAAGCAATAGTCTGATTAATCTTCAGGAGGCAACAAATATTTTCTTCACCTTCTTGAAACTGAATCATATCAAAGGCAACAAAAAAAAAACAGATCTTATTATCAACCTCAATCCCTCTCACTCCAACAGGAAACAAACACTCTCTATGGAAGACAAACAAATCTCAGCCAAACCCTACAATGATTCAATCAAATATCTCAGTATTATTCTCTCTGGAAAATTATCTGTAAAAACCACAAAACAAAAGCTTTTTAAAAAAATCTCAAACTTCACATCAGCAATCACAACCCAAAAAGCCTGGAACGGTATAATTATTAAACAAGTCTTCCACTAGATAGTTCCAGCTCAGCTAAAATATGTAGCCCACATCTTCATCCCCTTTGACAACGAAGCTAGTCTCTTGTAATTGAAATTCAACAAAGCAATAAAATCAAAACTAAACATGGAGAGAACAATCTCCAACAAGGTACTCTACTCAAAAGCAAGTGCTAACATAGCTAAACTCTAGAATAGAAGAGACATAACAGCAGTAAAATTACTGATAGCACAATTAATCAATCCTGCAACTTCACAGTCAATATTTCAGGAAGTTTGATCAATACAAAGCTCACAAGCCATCTAGTCTTGCCCCATCTGCTTTCCTCAGCTATTCAGAATTTCATGGCTGACCCGTATAGCAAAAATTGCAAAAAAATATAAAGTCGATATATATCCAAATCCATACTCTTCACTATAGAAAATTATAATCTATTCATTGACTTAATCATAAATCTGAATAAAAAAACCACCCTTTTACTTCACTACGCAAACATCAAGACACTATATAATATATTAGCTTATAATAGCCCAACAAAGCTAATATGAAAAGAACTCCATACCCACAAGTGTTATATCACAAAAGGTCTAATCCTTAAGTGATTTACCAACCTCACCAACATTGCGCCTTCTATTAAAGAAAATATACTTCCCTCCCTAATCCTTAACCACGATTCTGAATATATCTCGAAAACAACTCAATACATTTCATCAAAGTCAGAGTCAATGCCATTATACGTTCACTTATAAGTGGCAAACACTACAATTTAGACATTCACAACAAACAAATCACAAGCTACTTTTGTCTAATACAACTCTGCATAAAGGAAAGGATAAGTTTTAGAGCCTACTAAGTTCAGTCTGGTTCTATTCTAATAACAATTAGTATAAGCTTCTCAATAATATCAATAAACTTATTTATATTTTCTCACTTTTGCCATTATATCACCCCCAATTAATCATTCTTCTCCCAATAAGCAGACTTCATCTCCTCAGTATCTCAATAGTGACCATATATTCCAATATAATAAAAACAATAACAGATACCTATCCTCAAATATACGCAAACAACCTAAATATTTGAGCAAACTTCTGGCCTATACTATCTTAACTAATTCAGAATATAGCATCAAACTCTCAAATTACATGCAAAGTTCCAAGCACATCAGATTTACAAATTTCTGAATATGTCAATAGACAAGTTAAAGTATCCTTTTTTAGACATATCAGCTCAATCCTTAAGAAAATATCTAGTAAAACTTAACAATAATCTGAAAGAAAATAAAAATAGTTCACAAAAACACAGATGCTATCATAACAATTTTATCCCCATCACTCCTGCTTTCCAAATCCTTTATAACTTTGTCTCTAATTAACAATTCCAATGCAACCAGCATTACCCACTGGATCAAATTCATTAATCAATCTATAAATACCTTTGACCTAACCTTGAGTTATTCCACCACCTACAAACCTAGATCCCTGAAACAATTTGACATAATAATTAAGGCAAACAAAAACTAAAAAAAATGAACCAAAGTAAATTCAGAGCACTGTCAAGATTCCATGCTAAACTTATAGCTGACCAGCTTTCTACAAGAACAAAACTCTATAAAAGATACTTTACACTATATCTAAACAATCTATGTCTCTACTGTGACATAAAAGAAAATTCACTGAATCATATTTTGCATTGCCTCCATAGTAACAATTACATTAATGGAAAAAAACTGAAGCTTATCAACTTAATTCAAAAAGCAAAAACAACAATAATGACACTCAGAATAGCACACACTAACCATTCAACTCAACTTTTATTAACAGGTATCATGTGTTTCAACTAGCTCTCGGCATCTTTTCCTCACCAATAGATAATATCACAAAAAACAAAGAGGACACATCAAACCAGTCACTAAAAATCCTATACAAAGTATGGAAACAAAGGTTCGAAATAGCAACTACCTTACCTTTCTCAGGCATTAAATGAATAAAAACCAAAGCAATCAACTCTCAAATTCAAACCAAAAACAATGAGAGCATCTTTGACAAAATTCTTAATATTTTAGAATTATATAATTTACATACTAATAAATCTATTTTCATCTCATCACCAATTTTTTTATTTTGAATAAGTATTAGCCATTCAACATTAATAGTGTCAGCCCACTTACGTAGTGTTAGTTGGTATTATTAATTCAGCTATAATATGCTACAATTAATTTACATCATGTAAAGATTGTTAATGTACTAATTATAAATACCTTTTATTCAAATAAAATTACACATTTAATACTCATTTGCAAAAAAAAAAAAAAAAAAAGAATTTTATAATATATTTAGATAAATATTCACAAACATTTCAAGTATTTCAATTAATTTATAAATGATATTATAACAATACATATATAAGAATAAAATAAAAAATAAATAAAAAATAAAAAATTGATAGTTAATTCAAAAGATAAAAAATTATTAATATATTAGAGAGTAAAAAACAAATTACGAAAAGTATACAAATAGATAAAATTTAAAAGTGATTAAGAAGTTAGAAGAAAAAAGTAAAAAAACTTAAAAAATTTTTGATAAAATAAAATCAATTGAGGCAAGTTTCAAAAAAGTCAAGCTAAAATTTATAAAAAAAAAAAAAAGCAAGTGAAAAAGAGAAAAGAAAATGAGGAAAAAGAGAAAAGTAATAAATAATTTAGTTTAATATTTTTGTAATTTTTTTTAATAAATTTCATGAATTTAATTAAATTTCTTAAATATTTGTCAAATTTTACAAATTTTTTGTTGCAATATATAAATTTTTTGTTACTGTATACAAAATTTTTTCACAGTATTGCAATTTTTTGTCAAATTTGATGTCAAATTTTTTTGTTGCAATATCTCAAATTTGATATTGCTGATTTTATCAGTAAATTTAATCAAATTCGGCAATAATTTGACAGCCAAATAATATAATTTTGACTAGTGTGATTGTAGAATATCAATTATTTTTGTTCTTATTTATAACTTTTTAATAATAAAATAAATTATTTATATTTTATAATCGAAATATTACCGTATGCCCTTATAACCAAAAGTCAACCTGACTTATATCTATACTTACAGTATGTACTTATCGACTATTTTAGGAACCCATCTTTAATAAAACTGTATTTACTCGAATAAAAAATTCAAGTATTACAAGTGTTTAAAATTGGTTTTCAATAAAGCTAACGAAAATAAAAGCAAACAATATTGAATTAAAATATTTATATACCACTTGACTATGGACATACAATACTTATATCAATTTAATGTGATCGATTTCCGCAAGAACTTCACATTTTTATTGTTTCTAGACATATAAATGTACAAATTTCGCAATATTTGTTTACTTATACTATAGATTATTCTTTTCTGATGTTCATTAAATAAATAATTTAAGTTAATAATATTATAATGCGAATATTATTCATATTTAACTAATCATCGTAATGATGTTTAATTTGTCTATAATGTTCTTCTTTCAAATCATTGAAGGCATTCAGCCTCTGAATGCCATAGGATAAATAATCAAACTCAATCTCACTTTGAAATGATTGCACCAACCCCCAAATCCCCCACATCATGTGGCTTGCCAGTGCAAAAGCGTTGCATTCCACTAGCATCTTTTGCAATAAAGATTGATCTTTTGAAGAAAATTTGGTCGACCCTGACTCCTGGTCCTGTGTTTCCAGGTACGCCTCTAAAAAATTTAATTGTTCCTCCTCGTTAGGATACCAATCCCTATGTAATACATGCGGATCGGGACCACTATAGTCATAGGCCCATTCACAAAAGTGATTCCCTATATCGAATCCGCGATAATTGTAACCGGCATACTCAAAATCGACTACTACCAGTTGGTTAGATCCGTCTGCAAGTCGCAAAATGTTTCCGTATTGTGTCTTTTGTCAATTAATTAAAGATGAATTAATCAACACATTCTTATAGTTAAAAAGCAAAAACCAACGAATACCACTTACATCATTATGTGCAAACACTATCGGAGAATCAATTTTAGAGAGCATCACTTTTAATCGCGGAATCTCGTCTCTTAACAAGTTTAATAAATCTAACGCTTCCTTATTTTCAGATGATCTAAAAATTTTACACGCTAACGGGTACCATCTATCAATATTAACCCACACTTCAGGATTCGCATCATCTCTAGGAGGAAATATTTTCACTATGTTATGGAACTGAAACATCCGGCTTGCGATGTGACGTGATATTGGAGCCATGCGAATATCATCCTTGGTCAGTGTTGTAGATTCATAATACTCTTCTATTCTTCCGTTCTTGAAAGTCCCCAGCAGCTGAGGTCCAATTTTAACAGTAGAAAGCATCCTCAGCCATACCAGTTCTTTCTCTCGTTCAACCAATTGATCGATACCATTCCCATATATTCGTAGTATTACTTTTTGTGGTTTTGTTTTAGTACACCGCGGTTTTTTTGTGACGAAGAATACGCTGTTGGTAAAAGCACCGGACACACGTTCAATGTCAATATGAGATTCATCGGTGACATCATCCCATCCTGGAAGCATGTTACGCATTAAAGGAAGTAGCGCATTGCGAAGTCGTATACCATGACCTAGTTCACTATTATTAAATTTAATTATTAAAGGTATTGATCCCAAAAAAAATAAATAGTGAAGATACATACGTCAAGTTAAGGGTAACATCACTCTCATTCTGTTTCCTCAAAGAAGAGTGCGTAGCATGATCTTTGTGTGTAAGGGAGGTATAAGAACATTGACTGATAAACGACATTTTTTAAAAAAATTTTTTGACTGGGGAGAGACGAAAAA